ACCGATACACAGAATTATGTATCTTAGTGTAGTCTACTTGTGTGCCAAGTTATATTGAAATTAGACCAAAACTGTAGGAGGAGTAGCATTTTGAAAAATTGTTTACAGACAGACGGACAGACGGACAGACAGACAGACAGACGGACAGACGGACGGACGCCGGACGCATTACTATCGCATAAGCTCTTCTGGTCTCTGACCAGTAGAGCTAAAAATTAATCCTTTAAAAGTCTTTCAATATATCTTCATTTTTAGCTCACCTGAGCCGAAGGCTCAAGTGAGCTTTTCTGATCAAAATTTGTCCGTCGTCTGTCGTTGTCGTCGTTGTCGTCGTCGTTGTCGTTGTAAACTTTTCACATTTTCATCTTCTTCTCAAGAACCACTGGGCCAATTTCAACCAAACTTGGCACAAAGTATCCTTGGGTAAAGGGGATTAAAGTTTGTTCAAATGAAGGGCCACGCCCTTTTCCAAGGGGAGATAATCATGAATTTGTTAAAAATTTATGGCATTTTTAAAAAATCTTCTTCTCCAGAACCCCTGGGCCAGGAAAGATGAAACTCATGTGGAATCATCCTCAGGTAGTGTAGATTGAAGTTTGTTCAAATCATGACCCCCGGGGCAAGGGTGGGGTCAAAATGGCCGACCCAAGTTTTATATAGGAATATATAGGAAAAATCTTTAAAAATCTTCTTCTCCAGAACCACTGGGCCAGGAAAGATGAAATTCATGTGGAATCATCCTCATGTAGTGTAGATTCAAGTTTATTCAAATCATGACCCCCGGGGCAAGGGTGGGGCCAAAATGGCCGACCCAAGTTTTACATAGGAATATATAGGATAAATCTTTAAAAATCTTCTCCAGAACCACTGGGCCAGGAAAGATGAAATTCTTGTGGAATCATCCTCAGGTAGTTTAGATTCAAGTTTGTTCAAATCATGACCCCCGGGGCAAGGGTGGGGCCAAAATGGCCGACCCAACTTTTACATAGGAATATATAAGAAAAATCTTAAAAAATCTTCTTCTCAAGAACCACTAGGACAGAAAAGATGAAACTCATGTGGAATCATCCTCAGGTAGTGTAGATTCAAGTTTGTTCAAATCATGACCCCCGGGCAAGGTTTGGGCCAAAATGGCCGACCCAATTTTTTCATAGGAATATATAGGATAAATCTTTAAAAATCATCTTCTCCAGAACCACTGAGCCAGGAAAGATGTAACTGAGTGTGGAATCATCCTCAGGTTGTGTAGATTGAAGTTTGTTCAAATCATGACCCCTAGGGCAAGGATGGGGCCAAAATGGCCGATCCAAGTTTTACATAGGAATATATAGGAAAAATCTTTAAAAATCTTCTTCTCCAGAACCACTGGGCCAGGAAAGATGAAATTCATGTGGAATCATCCTCAGGTAGTGTAGATTCAAGTTTGTTCAAATCATGACCCCCGGGGCAAGGGTGGGGCCAAAATGGCCGACCCAAGTTTTACATAGGAATATATAGGATAAATCTTTAAAAATCTTCTCCAGAACCACTGGGCCAGGAAAGATGAAATTCTTGTGGAATCATCCTCAGGTAGTTTAGATTCAAGTTTGTTCAAATCATGACCCCCGGGGCAAGGGTGGGGCCAAAATGGCCGACCCAAGTTTTACATAGGAATATATAAGAAAAATCTTAAAAAATCTTCTTCTCAAGAACCACTAGGACAGAAAAGATGAAACTCATGTGGAATCATCCTCAGGTAGTGTAGATTCAAGTTTGTTCAAATCATGACCCCCGGGCAAGGTTGGGGCCAAAATGGCCGACCCAATTTTTTCATAGGAATATATAGGATAAATCTTTAAAAATCATCTTCTCCAGAACCACTGAGCCAGGAAAGATGAAACTCTTTTGGAATCATCCTCAGGTAGTGTAGATTGAAGTTTGTTCAAATCATGACCCCTAGGGCAAGGATGGGGCCAAAATGAAAAAATCCAAGTTTTACATAGGAATATATAGGAAAAATCTTTAAAAATCTTCTTCTCCAGAACCACTGGGCCAGGAAAGATGAAATTCATGTGGAATCATCCTTAGGTAGTGTAGATTCAAGTTTATTCAAATCATGACCCCCGGGGCAAGGTTGGGGCCAGAATGGCCGATCCAAGTTTTACATAGGAATATATAGGAAAAATCTTTAAACGTCTTCTTCTCAAGAACCACTGGGCCAGGAAAGATGAAACTCATGTGGATTCATCCTCAGGTAGTGTAGATTGAAGTTTGTTCAAATCATGACCCCTAGGGCAAGGATGGGGCCAAAATGGCCGATCCAAGTTTTACATAGGAATATATAGGAAAAATCTTTAAAAATCTTCTTCTCCAGAACCACTGGGCCAGGAAAGATGAAACTCATGTGGAATCATCCTTAGGTAGTGTAGATTCAATTTTGTTCAAATCAAGACCCCCGGGGCAAGGATGGGGTCAAAATGGCCGACCCAAGTTTTACATAGGAATATATAGGAAAAATCTTTAAAAATCTTCTTCTCCAGAACCACTGGGCCAGGAAAGATGAAACTCGTGTGGAATCATCCTCAGGTATTGTAGATTCAAGTTTTTCAAATCATGACCCCCGGCCCTGGGGATAGGGTGGGGCCAAAATGGCCGACCCAAGTTTTACGTAGGGATATATAGGGAAACCTTTTAAAATCTTCTTTTCAAGTACTTCAAAGCTATGATTAGTGATACCCCGGGGTATTTATATGGAATCATCCTCAGGTAGTGTAGATTCTAGTTAGTTCAAATGATGAACGCCTGGAAGGGGGGAGTAAATTCAAGCCCGATGTGCTCAGGTGAGCGCTGTGGCCCCTGGGCCTCTTGTTTAAATATGTGTTAGGTGAATGTGTAGACATTGTTCTAAAATTTACTTGATGCCTAAAACTATAATTCCTTTCATAAAACAGACAGGGATTATTGGGGAGTAGGGTGAACATTTTTTCAATTAAGTGTAAAATAATTTTTCTGGCTGATACAAATGATACTACATGCCTGTATATATTTGTAGATTCTTGCCTTTTAATAGTTGAATTTTTTTTATTTCTTCAGGTTATTGTTTATTTCTTCCTCAAATGGACTTAACTTCTCCCATAGTTTTATTCATTACATCTGATGCATAAGTAAACCTTTTCTGAAGAATGATGCTTAGACTGTAAGCTATAACATAGACCTAAACAATGTCGCTGGCAATATGCAATAACTACCACGGGCAGTTTAAAACCTGGGAAAGGAAAACAATTTACAGATACTTTTGAAACGAATACATAATTATCTCACCAGCATGTCATTGTGCAACAAAGTCGTCAGCATTCTATTTGTCCTTTGAACGGGTGAAACGATTTGAATGGCACTCGTATCGATGAATTTTACACTTAACCAAGCTATCTTCTCAGATCTAGCTTTATTTACCCGCCGTTTCATCTTAAAACCGGAAGTGCGTGTTCGTAAATCTGATATCTCGATCCCGACTCAAATTTGACATCGGAAAGAAAAAAATTGTTTTATTTTTTCCTGAAAATTGAAAACCTTGAGCGGAGGGTTTGTAAAACTGAAAATAAAATAATTCCTGGCCTTAAATATTTAATTAGATCATTAGCATATTAACCAAGAGCAAAGGATAAGATGTTCAAAGAATTCATGCATTTCACTATATAATCATTAGAGCCCCACCCTAAAACAAGAACCCCTGACCCTGGGGCCATAAAATTCACAATTTTGGTATAGGCTCTCTTGCTCATCATAACTACATACTTAGTCAGTTTATTTAATACCCAGGAGCAGAGAAGAAGATTTTCAAAGAATTCATGTATTTTCACTATATAATCAATAGAGCCCCGCCCTAACACCAGAACCCCTGACCCTGGGGCCATAAAATTCACAATTTTGGTAGAGGCACTCTTGCTCATCATAACTATGTACTTAGTTGGTTTATTTAATACCCAGGAGCAGAGAAGAAGATTTTCAAAGAAATAATGCATTTTCACTATCTACTTATTTAGCCCCGCCCTAGCACTAGAACCCCTGACCCCAGGGCCATGAATTTCACAATTTTGGTAGAGGACTCATTGCTGATTACAATCATGCAAACAGTTTGACTGCTTGATGTCCAGGAGTAAAGAAGAAGATTTTTAAAGATTGCATTAATTTTAGTGGTTTTGGCCCCACCCCTCAGGCCCCAGGGGGGCAGGGGTCATGAAATTCACAATTTTTGTTCCCCTTTACCCATAGATGCTTTGTGCCAAGTTTGGTTGAAATTGGTTCAGTGGTTGCAGAGAAGAAGCTGAAAATGTTCAAATGTTAACACACGACGCACGACGACGGACGAAAACGGATAGCAATAGGTCACCTGAGTGACTCAGGTGACCTAAAAATCCAACATAATCCCTTTAAAATAGACGATGCAGTATGGGTATACTATCCTAATCAAAATCTGGGTTTAGAACGAAAATAATCCAGACCTTGGACAGGACCATTCAGAATCAAAGAGAAAATGAATGACATTCTCTACAGAATTCAAAAGCACCATAGACATAAAGGGGATGTAATTCACCATAATAGATTGAAAATCTACAATGGGATAAATATTCCCACATGGTTTCAAGCATAAAAATTCTATTCTATGGTGTGTGTATATATGTATCTAATACAGTATATATGCAGTATATAGATTGACATATAGTTCAAAATTTGATTGACATGATTTTACTGGTACTATATTATTATTGCACATAATATTGCTATGACATGGTTCCAAGGGAACTAAGAAAAAAATATATATACTTCCACAGATCCAGCGCTTCAAATGTCTTCTATGCAATGGAAGAGAATTCACCAATCAATTTCATGCAGAGCGCCACCTTACTGCAACACATTCGGGCTTTGGATATCAATGTGATATATGCCACTATATGTTGGGGCGAAAGGATCAAAAACACGGGTGTAAGGGATACAACCTCCAACTTCTCAAGAAATCAAACATGAAGTATGGGGAAGAAGAGCGCAAAGAATTTGCTGAATTCCAGCGGAGGAGATCAACTCTCGTTGAGGCTTTCATGAAAGAAGTCGTTCCCAACTTCAATCCGACACCAGGAGCAAAAAGAGCAATCTATATGGACACAGTGGTACTCCCAAAGAAACAAAAAGTAGACAACAAAGGCGACAATGACCAGAGAATTCCAGCTCCTGGTCCAGTACCAAGTCCTAAACCTGTGGAACAACCCCAGCCTCAGTCTAAGCCAACCACATCCGCTACTTCTAACCCAAAGGAAAAGAAAACTTACAAGTCCAAGTCAGTCGTGTCTTCGGTATCATCATCATCCTCCTCATCATCATCTTCAACTTCAAATTCGGACTCGTCCTCATCTACAAAGAAATCAGAAAATCCCATCAAAGATGTCCTTTCTATCAATGCCCCAGAAGAAGAAAGTTATGAAGTTCAGGAATCTAATGAAATACCTACATATTCACCGACTAACCAGATGGAAGCTGACGACTAAAAGCTTAACATACTCAAAGAGCAACAAGACGGCCGCGTAATACTGAATGGGGGGGGGGGGGGGAGAAAGTTTGAAACAAGTAGCAGGACACTGGCGAGCGACCCATCATCATTATTAGCAGCAATGACCAACCCAAATTCACCAATCAAGCCATCGAACGAAACCTATTTTATTGACAGGAATCCCCGTTACTTCGATTTCGTGCTTGACTACCTAAGGTCACCAGAAGCGTTCCCTAATATTCTACCATCCGACTTTACAGTGTTGCGTCAACTTTACGTTGAAGGAAAATTCTATGGTCTATCTGGATTAGTGTTAGCAGTCGAGAAAAAGGGACAGACACAGCCACTATGAGAGGAAAAATAATGGGATAGATAAACACTGTGATATATTCCGAGATGTGATAGATATGCTCTGTGATGTATTCCAAGTTGTGATATATATGCACTGTGATATATTCTGAGATGTGATATATTGTTAATTTTTATTTATATTTGTTGTTGTTGAATATGATGTCAATTGTTATAATTGTAATATGATATGTTAATAATGTTTTATTGTAAAATATGTAATGAATTTTTATCATTAACATGACAAGTTAATGAAAATACACTTACCTTTGACATCACTGATTTCTTTTCCTTTCAATGGATTGACATAGTTCCCATTCGAGGACGAATGCCTATTAGGAAGGGGGGTAGTGTTACGATTCATGATTTTGATATTTAATAGTTTAATGTCATTTGTTATCGACATGTTGTCAATCCGAAATTCCTCCATAAGTGTGGAACGTAAGATGACAAATAATCTTATACGAAAGATTGACACACAAAGAGGCAGTTCCCTAAATCGTAACTTATGTAAATAACCTACTTTTTATGTTATTCCGACATTGTAAACCCTAATATGATCCTCCAACTGACATAACTCCAATTCCCGCGAATCTCGCATTGTTTTTAAATACATCGAGATCGCTTAGCACAATAAACTTCCGGTGCAGGTCTAATTGCGGGAAAAGGGAGCGGATCGTACGTCATTTCACTAGCAACGTAATACGATATAAACAGCTGTCATCTGCAGCTTTTTGCTCAGTACCTCAATCTGACGAGGACGGCTAGTGAAAAATAATGGAAACCCAAAGCAGATGGGTAATTAATTAATTAATTAGATTAATTTATTGATATTGGGAACTGATGCCTGTGGTTATTTAAATTTATTTTAAATAGTTTGTTATTGAAAAGAAATATTTTTGGGTATTCCCACATTTGGGAAAAACTTTATATGGGATATTAAAATCCCATTCTTATTGATTTCTAGGAAAGAATTTGTTTATATAATTTATTATAGCTCAATAACCCATCCCTGACAAATTAATTTATTTTAATAAAGTTTTATATAAGAAGTTATTTGGTATTATAATTTCTATCTGATATACAAACTTGGGAGGCCCACAGTTACTTTAACCCAAAACATAGTAAAAAGGGGAAAAACGTAACATAAATTTGGTTCCCAAGTACAGAAAATCAACTTTGGGTGGAAACAGTGAAATTCCCAGTTTTCGTAATGGCGCCGGTTCTGACGTTTTTCTGGCATGTAAAATATTAAAATCCTAAAAAGCCAGGAAAACGTTAGATTTTTCGGACTAGCCAACAATTTGACTGCTTGATACCCAGGAGAAAAGAAGATTTTTAAAGATTGCATTAATTTAAGTGGTTTTGGCCCACCCCAGGGACCATGCAATTCACAAATTTTGTTCCCCATCACCCATAAATGCTTTATGCCAAAATTGGTTGAGCAGTTGCAGAGAAGAAGCTGAAAATGTTCAAATGTTAAAACACGACGCACGACGACGGACGAAATCCGATAGCAATAGGTCACCTGAGTTAACTGTATTTTGTATATATAAAAAACACAAAAGAGAGACGAAAACAGATAGCAATAGTTTACTCAGGTGACATAAAAAGGCGGTCGTAATGAGAAAAGAATTCGTCTGCAACTATTAATCCGCGGAAGAACTCTGTCACATTGCGATAAACACTTACATTTTATACCCAAAAATGATGAAGACACTAATTTTGTGCTCTTTCCTTCAATAAAGCAATGTATTCTCGCTACGACTTTTCAAATCAAAAAGGTGGTTCAAACTTCACTTTGGCTTAAACATTATTATTTCCGGTAGAAGGTATAAAGAAGTATCGAATCACTGGAGGAAGAAGTTTATCCGAAATAGTTAGAATATGAAAATTTGCGATTTTTATATCTTCTCTATTTAAACCCTTTTGGATTCTGCCGCCATTACAGCTCCAATATGGCCGATATGTAAATGAGCAGCATGAACACCATTTCTCCCATATGGGCTGATTTCAATATAAGTTTGTACACAAGTGGACTGCACTAAAATACATTCAGGAAATTAAGTGCATCGTATTTTTGATTTCGATGAACTGAGTTGCCATGGTTTTTAAAAATTGAAAATTTCTTTAAAATATCTTTATTTTTTGTCTGATTTCAAAATATTAAACTTTGCTCACTACCCTTAGATACATACTTAAATGCTTCGGTTTCTGATTTCGATAAAGGTGTTGCCATAATTACTTAAAACTTGGATATACGTGTGAAATTCCTTTAAATCGCTATGAAATTCCTTTAAATCGCTATTTCTCCTACAGTTTTGGTTCGATTTCAATATAACTTTTGCATACAAGTAGACAACACTCAGACTCATTGGTGATGCTTGAAATTTTAGCACACTTTTTGCTGAGGCATGCCATATTGTGGGATTCATTTTTGTACAATTCCACTTCCTGTTTATTCGTTCGTCTGTCCGTAACAAAAATAGCAAATTTTTGTTGCAGTTATTTTAGGAACAACTCATTGCAGATGCTTGAAATTTTAGCACATTCTTTGCTCGGGCATGTCGTATAGTGGGATTCATTTTTGTATTTTTGTACAAATTCGATGTCCACTTCCTGGTGTATCCGTACGTCTGTCTGTACCATACATAATTAATTTTCGTCAAACTTTTCTCGGCAACTATTCATCGCAGATGCTTGAAATTTTAGCTCATTCTTTGTTGAAGCATGCTATATGATGAGATTTCATTTTTGTTTAAATTCTATGTCAACTTCCTGTTAATCCGTGCGTCTTTCCGTACCAAACAGAACAGTAATTTTCGTCGCAGTTTTCTGCTCGCTCGAGAGGACATAGAACAAGGTGATTTGTCGCGCTCTGGATGAGGTAGTGATTCTGAATGTGAGTCTGGATTCAGATCTGTCGGTATTTAATTTTGCTCTGATCTAAATCCGTAGGATTAGTATTCAATGGCAGAGGACTATTTGTTTGTCCGTCTATAGGTCACCTGAATAAACTTGCTATCCGTTTTTGTCCGTCGTCGTTTGTTAACATTTGAACATTTTCAGCTTCTTCTCTGAAACCACTGAACCAATTTTAGCATATAGCATCTATGGGTGAAGGGGAGAAAAAATTGTGAATTTCATGGTCCCTGCACCCCTGGGGCCGGCGGGTGGGGCCAAAACCACTAAGATTAGTGCAATCTTTAAAAATCGTCTTCTTCACTCTTGGACATCAAGCAGTCAAACTGTTGGTATAATTGTAATCAACATTGAGTCCTCTAACAAAATTGTGAAACTCATGGCCCCAGGATCAGGGGGTCACCCCCTAGTACAAGGGCGGGGCTTAATACATGTAAGGTATATAGTGAAAATGCATTATTTCTTTGAAATTCTTCTTTTTTGCTCCTGGGCATTAAATAAACTAACCAAGTGATAGTCGATTTGAAAATGACTGCCTCTTCCAAAATTGTGAATTTTATGGCCCCAGGGACAGGGGTTTTAGTGCTAGGGCGGGGCTATATAGATTATATAGTGAAAATGCATAATTTTTTTGAAATTCTTCTTCTCTGTTCGTGGGCATTAAGTAAACTAACCAAGTCCATAGTAATGTTGAATAAGGCTGCCTCTTTCAAAATTGTGAATCTCATGGCCCCAGGTCAGGGGTTCTAGTGGCAGGGCGGGGCTATAGAGTTGATACAGTGAAAATGCATTATTTCTTTGAAATTCTTCTTCTCTGTTCCTGGACATTAAATAAACGATCCAAGTGCATAGTTATGTTGAATAAGGCTGCCTCTTCCAAAATTGTGAATTTCATGGCCCCAGGGTCAGGGATTCTAGTGCTAGGGCGGAGCTATAAAAATTAGATAGTGAAAATGATTTTTTCCCCTAAAAATCTTCTTCTCTGCTCCTGAGTATTAACTAATTTAACCAAGTACAAAGTTATGTTGAATAAGGCTGCCTCTTCCAAAATTGTGAATTTCATGGTCCCTGGGCTGGGGGTTCTGTTCTTAGGGTCGGGGTCTTTTGATTATGAAGTGCATAAATTCTTTAAAATTTTTCTTTTCTGCACCTGGGTATTAAACCAATGAATTATGTATATAGTTATGAGGAGGAAGGATGCCTATTTGAGATTTGTGAAAATTTCAGTACCCCTGGGTAAGGGCTTCTTGTGCAAGGGCGGGGCTCAAATATTTATATAGTGTAAATGCATGAATTCTTTGAAAATCTTTCCCTTTTCTCCTGGGTATTAAGTCAATGATCTTAATACATATTTATGACGAAGAAAGCTGCTTCTTCAAAAATTGTTAATTTCCGGGCTCCTGGGATAGAGGTACTTGGGGGGGGCATTGACTGAAAATAATTTAATACTTTGAAATCTGCACTTTAGTATTAATCAACAACATGATGAAATAAATTTTTTATAAAATTTCCAAAATTTTGAAAGATGTGGCCCCAGGGTCAGTGGTTCCTGTGGGATAGGGTGCAAAACTGATAAAATAGAAATGCATTTTCTCTTTCTTACTCTGATCTACCTCTTGGTATTAAGAGTAGTATAAGGCGCCTAGCCGGCGAGTTCAACTGAGTGCACTTTTTATGCAAATGAGGTCAAAAAATGGTGAATTTTGATTGGCTGAGGGGATAAGGGGTCAACTGAGTGCAGTCCTAACCCCTCTAACCCTAGCCCCTTAGCCCTCTAACCCTAACCCTAATCCCTTAACCCTAGCCCCCTACCCCTAACTAACCCTAACCTTAACCCTATCCTCTAACCCTAATCCCCTAGCCCTAACCCCCTAGCCCTAACCCTAACCCCTCTAACCCTAACCCCTAACCTATCCCCCTAAATACGGAGCGCTTACACTGTGTTTACATTATACAATACGTTGGTACTACGATTTTTATGGCAGCGACTCAAAAGAATGTCATTATGACGTCACGCATTCATTCACAGTCCAGACAGCCTAGCCAGCCTAACCAGTTCAAACTGGTTTTACTGAAAGACAACAACAAACTGGATTTTCTGAAAACAAGAACACGAACACACAATAACAAGAACACAGCAATTTTATTCAGAATGAAAAATACAATTACATTTTCTTTTTCTTCTTCTGGGCCTTATCACTCATCAGGGGTACTTTCCTCTTGTGTGTTCTGGGTGGACACTCCTCTATTTTTCTCCTTGTTGTAGGCTACTTCTTTCACTAACTGGTCTGCTTCCCTTCCTAGATCACTAATCTCTCTCACCACTTCTTTCTGTTTATTTAGGATACGGCATAACCAACAGTCTGGTGTAGTTTCCTCTTGTGAGTAGTGGGTGGACTCTTCATTTTTTTTCTCCTGGTCTGCCTCCCTTGCTAGATAACGAATCTCTTTGATCACTTCTTTTAAATCCTCCATGATAGTAACCATTTCATTTAGTATACGACATCGTAAGGTTCCTTCATCTACGTCCATAAAATCTTGTGTTTCTGGAACAGTCTCCTTTGTATTTTCCTCTGTCATATTTTTGTCTGCTCCATTTTTTACCTGTGTCCAATTCCAAGTACTCACACAGAATGATCCTTCATGTCCAGCTCTGAATTATATATATAGCATGGGTTTATTTTAGGGACGTGTGCAAAAAAAATATACCTTTTACCTGCGTTTTCTTATATACCTGTTGCATCATCTGTAAAGAACCGTGTGCAAAAAATATACCTTTTACCTACATTTTCTTATATACCTGTTGCATCATCTATAAGTGCCGTGTGCAAAAATACGATAAACTTACCTATGCATTGTGACGTCATCCACTGTATAAATACAGGTTTTCTTCCACTTTGGTTTCATTTTACCCTCAGAGCCATCAGCTGTTAGACATGGATTCTACTAGAGAAAAACAGTTACAGGCTCAACGATTATTGAAACGAAAAAGAACCGAGAGAGAATTAGATTCACCACCTAAACCGATTTCTGATTATCAGATTAAACTAGCTGATGAAGCCCACTCTCCAAAATTTAAAGCGCATCAAAATAATTATATCATCCATTTCAATGAATTTCCAGAAGAAGAAGAAAACACAAGTTTCTTTCGGCGATTATTCAGAAACATGTTACAAAAATTCAAATCTGAAATGCAGTGTAATCCTAACGATTACCTCCGCCTGAACATAAGTCACCAATCTTTGGATTCAGACATTTGGTACGAGTTTACGCAATGTAAAGATTTAAACGAAGACCTCATTTTAAATAAAATAGAAGCCGTGCAACAATCCAAAAAGGAGTTCAAACTGGGCGACGGCTCCCTGAAATTCGATCTGTTTCATATCGAGAATCCCGAGGGGAGTGGTGGAAACAGAACCAAACATCTACAAGTGAATAAAGAAACTTTCAAGAACAATAAACAATCCATCGTTCGGATCGTCAATCCCTGGGATAAATTTTGTTTGGCTAGAGCCATCGTCGTCACTCGATTACACAGTCAGAAACCCGAACATCCAGACCCCGAATGGGAAAAACGATGGAAACGCATGAGGTCAGGAGATTTTAAGTCCTTAGACCAGAAACGAGAAGCCATAGCCCTCATGGAACAGGCCGGGTGTGATATCACTCAAGCTTGTGGAGCCCCAGAGTGGACCAAATTACAACAGGTATTAGCTCCTCAGTATCGACTGAAAATATTTCAGTTCAAATCTACTTCCACTAAACTCTGTTTAGAACCTATTTACAAAGGTTCGGGAAATGGAACTTATTTGAACATATTGTTAGACGACCATCATTGCGATGCCATCATATCCATGCCGGGAGTAACGGGGAACCAATATTACTGTGATGATTGCGACGTGGGGTACAGTCATGTCACAGACCATCGCTCCAAGTGTCCTCATCGCTGTCCCTTTTGTTTAGGACACCCTAGATGTCCCGATGAAGGGATCAAGATTCGATGCCGGGAATGCCAGGGAATGTTTAAGAACAGAACCTGCTACGAAAATCATTTAAGACCCCATAGTAAGAAAACCACCACTACTGTCTGCAATTTAATGGAGCTATGCGAGAAGTGTCAGTCCTGGATACCTAAGAAATTACCGTAAATCTGAAAATTTTTACGTCGATTTATTTTTGCGAATTCGGGTCAAAACGCTGTTGATTAATTTTTATGCTTCAAATTTTTGCGAATTGTCACTGGTTCTAAAAATAAAAATCACTGAAGATTTTCAGATCAGGTTATGTTTCAAATAATATGCCCAGTTAGAATACCACCAATATATATATTCACAACGTGGCAAGATATTGCAAAATTGCACCGAAACAATTTTGATAAATTTTTAAAATACAAAAGGATTTGCACTGAAAATAATTTTTAAATCAATTATAACAAACATTTTAGAGGTTGTGTATGCCTTTTGACCTAAAGTATAATCCAAATGAAGAAAAAAAAACAAACTTTTTTTCTCACCTAAAATTTACACGCGGCGTTTACATTTTGAACTTTCTAGTAAATGCAATGAGTTTGAGTTATCGCCCGTGTTGATACACGGTTAGATAAAATGACAGTTCTCTCTTAATTGGCAAATTAATTGATGAAAATAATTAAAAAGGGGCATACCGCCTCAGTGCTTGTCAAATCATCGGACGATATAATTGCATATAATGAGGGCAATTTACACGCACGTGTAATTAACTTGTAGTTATATAGTAGACTAGTGTAAACAGGTGTGTTCACTGAGTTAAAAAAACAGAAAAAAATCTTCACATGTTGATTTATTTTTAAGAAAAATATTTTTGCGAATGCAATGCACGCGCAAATTTGCTAAAAATTTATCTACAGTAAAAATTTCCAGATTTACGGTATTTCCTCATCACAAATGCGGAGAACAGAAACATTGTAAGATCTGTAAGAAAATCGTCGATGCCGATCATCGGTGCTACGTTCAACTCAACAGTTTTACATTTATTTCGATTTCGAATGCACTCAGGAAACGGGCATTCACATCCCCAATCTGTGTGTGGCACATTTCAACATTGCGGTGATCTACCCAGACAACCCTGTCCTCATTGTCAACACATGGGACCCCGTCAGCATCTATTTCAAGGACCAGACACCTTAAAGAAGTTCATGGAGTGGTTATTACAACCCACTACATGTACAGGTACTAAGAATTCCACATTAGTACACGACGAGGCCATCATCATCACCCATAACTTCAAAGGATACGACGGACAATTCATTTTGAATTACACAGTGCATTCCTCTTGCCTGAAACCTAACGTGATCATGAACGGCATTAATCCCCTTTACCCAAGGATACTTTGTAGCAATTTTGGTTGAAATGGGCCCAGTGGTTCTTAAGAAGATGAAAATGTGAAAAGTTTACAACGACAACATCGACGACAGACAACGGAAAAATTTTGATCTTGATTTCTGATTTTGAAGTTTTTGAAAAGTAGGTCAAACTCCAAGGTCAAGGTCCAAGGGGCAAAGTTCTTGGTATTCAATGAAAGGTCTCCTCACAAGAATTATATATATGAAGTATGAAAGTCCTAGCCCTTACCGTTCAAAAGTTATGGTCAAGGTTAAAGTTTTTTCATAAGTACGGAAATCTCCAAGGTCAAGGTCAAAAGGTCAAAATTGTTGGTATCCAATAAAGGGTCTTGCAAACAAAGAATACATATGTGAAATATGAAAGTCCTAGTACCTACCATTCAAAAGTTATGGCCAAAGTAAAAGTTTGGAATTTTTGTGTAAAAGTGGGTCAAACTCCAAGGTCAAGGGCAAAAGATCAAATTTGGTGGTACCCAAAGAAAGGTCTTGTCACAAGGAATACACATATGAAATATGAAAATCATAGCTCCACTAAATCAAAAGTTATGAGCAAGGTTAAAGTTTAAGTGACGGACAGACAGACAGACGGACAGACGAATGAGATTTAATGTCCCCTCGCTTTCGCGAAAGCGGGGGACAATAAGACTTCTACTATGTAACATATGGGGATTACGAACAGTATTCAGGATCAGAAGTCCATAAAACAATACAAAATATGAGCAGAGAAAACACGGACCTCTAAATCATCAGAGGTGGGATCAGGTGCAATGGAAGAGTGAGTATCCCCTGCCGACCGTCATACCCGCCGTGTGCTCCTTGTCATGATCGGGAAATAACGGGAAAAAAAATCCGGCGTCAATTCGGTGTAAAAATAATGGACTAACAATTAGTATGAAAAATTTCAGTCAGCATTCGACCCAATGATAAATTGTATTTGCTGACAAGGTCATTGTATCGACCATAGAGCTTACGAAGTGATGACTTTAAACGAGACTGCTGAAATTCTTGTTTCTTCATCTTGTTTGTCAATAATTTACCTCGCTGCCCATGCAAAGGATGTATTTACTTTGACAAAAGAAATCTAAATTTTTCAAATTTGTATTTTATACCTAAAATTTATTATTTACAACCTTACAATTAACCTCCAAAGTTGACCGAAACACCATGTTGTCTGTTAAAAAGTTGATTTTTGCATGAATTTTGGCCAAGAAGTCCTCCAGGGCAGGCCTGCCCCTAAATAAAATTGTGACATCTTAATAGGCTGGGATGTGAGGAATAATTTAAGATAAGATTTTTTTAGGGGCACCCCTGCCCTAGGGTCGAATTTCAAAAAAAAAAAAAAAAACTACAAAAAAATAAGGAAACCTGATTTTGATAACTATACGGTGAATACTTATAGTCAGACTAGCTTAGTTGATATATGCGCTGACTTTCACAACGTGAAGACTTTTTTTTTTAAAGTCGGGGGTTCAAATCCACCTGGTACCACACTTTTGAAGTTTTAAATTTTTACCTCTTGAAAGACTATTTTAATTTTTTTTATATAGACTTGTGTATTTTACTTCAGTTATCTATCCTTTATGTATGCCCATTCTTGATATAAGAAACACTATAAAAGAGATCAAATCGTGAAAATCCAATGTACAGCTGTCAGTCAGGCGGAACAAACCTCAGTATAAGCACACTTTCTCTGAGGACAAGAATAACTCACTATGTGTTACTCGATAAAGGTATTCTTGGAAGCATTGAGCTGTGGTGAATTTCAATTGTATAATTTCCTTAGAATTAAATCACACTGATTTTGGCTACAGATATCAGTAACTGTACTCTTTTCATCTTCGCTAGCGAAGGGTTTCTGATACGCTACTCTCCTCATAAACCCTTGGCATACGGTGAAGTCAAAAGACGGGATTATTTTCGTCACGTGATCTTGAATCTATCAGGTACGCTCAGATTGCGTCATCGACAGAAATAAAGACGCATGTTAAAAAAAATTAAATTAAACTTTTTTCAAGAGTAATTTAGAAGCAATAATTGAGTAATGTTTATTTATTACTTGTAGTATAAATCGGAAGCTTCAATATAGATTCTTAATCACATATTTAGAAGATATTGGATGACACCATAGCTATTCATAGAATTGCATGTTATCTTACGGATCGTTGTTTACTTGCGTTTTTCAATTGCGAGATTAAAGAGTCAAGAAGTATCCCGAACGCAAACATCGTCATTTACAAAAAACAAATGATGATAGGTCGACAGGTGTGTACTGAAATCCAATCACAACTCTGGAAAAAAATCCCGATTTTTATGAACACCGTAGGCCAAGGGTTTATGAGAAGAGTAGCGTATCAGAAACCCTTGGCTAGCGGAGATGTACTCTTTTGGATTTCATTTAGGTCTATATAATTTGACACATTAATGGCATGTTTTATTGTATCCACGGATAAATAGCCTTGACATAAAGAATAGAATTTCAGAGACGGTAGACATTAACATTGTGTACAATGAAAAGTAAAGAAAATATCAATTATTACATTTGAAGATAACAAACTCAGAAAATCAATGAAAGGGTCTCACCTATACTCACTGAAATAAAGATTTAGTAAAAACAAATTGTTATATGTTTTCGGCCTAATGTCATTAATCGGAACGGAAATCGACACGCTTTTTGTAGAGAAAAAAACAAGCCCGGTGCTATAGGTCATATCCCTATTTATAATGAAATGATCCTTACCATGCAAGCTTCGCAAATCACAAAGCTATTGAATGACTTACGGAAATATGCAGCTTCATCCAAATCAAAACGTCTTAACTTTGACGACTTCAAGGGCTACAGAGATGATGAACTCTATCGTCGGGCCTGACAAAACACCAGTTTGAGGTCCTTGGTTTAATGGTTTTTTATCTTTAAAGAATTCCAAACTATAAGACCGCCTAGCCATTGGAGTATTGCTTCTCGAACTGAGAACCGGGTTATACCAGGAGTAAGAATGAAAAGCCATGGTGTATGTATTACCATAACTGACATTTATTTTTGAGATTTACCTTGTTCAATGCTCTGTTGAAATATTAAGTTTAATACACATATATTACTTTTCAGACTGATTGGTAAGCTCCTTGGAAAGATCTCTCACTATATTCAACAAACCAGATCTCTTTGCTTAGATTTTGTTCCTCTTTTTCTTTGATTCAATCACATTTCACTGTTCTATTGTATCCATCATGGATGGAACATTCATACACAATTCAAAAAAGTCGTAAATATGACTTTCAACGTCGATGTTTTAGCATGCATAAACACAGATCAGAGGTTAAGTCCATAGCCATAACTTATCAGTTAGTCATAATTTAATATATACTCATGTATATCACCATTTGCAGTTGAGACGGAACCCCGATTCGAAGACTATAAACAATTAAATTACTTAATATACAAATGAATAGGTTTAAGTGCATACAGAACTTATTTGTTTCTTGTATAAGACTGTGACTTCAAGATTCATAAGAATAACTTTTACAATACTAAATAAATCTAAATATAATCATATACTCGCCTGATCAAACACTATATTATAAACCTTTTCTAAACATCTCTTGGTTATTAGCAATAGGACAAATGAACTGAACTACGCCTACCAGAATATTAACATTATTCCTCTTTGGTTTTTACCAGACATGATTTGTCCGTACCTTGATTTTAAACGCAGCTTTGGAAGTGTTCAGACATATGCTTCAATGAAAGTTTTGCAAAACTCCAGGAAGAAGTCCGTCTCCCCTGACTAAAGATATCTGAAAAGACTTTTGATCCAAAAAGTTCAAAATCAGATTGCGATTTAAAAGCGCTTTACTGATCGATACACACGTACGTACAGAACTTTCGCTTTGCCAATTGCAAATTTCAATTATATTATGTCTGCATAATACAACATCTCAAACCAAATTGCAGGATATGTATATTTGAAGTTTCTGTACTTGTATTTAAAACGAGTTTCCATATACCCAGGAGTTGAGGAGAAAATTTTCAAAGACGTAATGCATTTTCATAATATAATCATTAGAGCCCCACCCTAACACCAGAACCCTTGACCCATGGGCCAGGAAATTCACAATTTTGAAAGAGGCTATCTTCCTCATCATAACTATGTACATAGTTCATCGACTTAATACCTAGGAGCAGAGAAAAAGATTTTCAAAGACTTAATGCATTTTCACTATACAATCATTCGAGACCCGCACTAACACCAGACCCCCTGATCCTGGGGCCAGGAAATTCACACTTTTGGAAGAAGCACTCTTCCTCATCATAACTATGTACATAGTTCATCGGCTTAATACCTAGGAGAAGAGGAGAAGATTTTCAAAGACTTAATGCATTTTCACTATATAATCATTCGAGACCCACCCTAACACCAGATCCCCTGACCAAGGGGCGAGCAAATTCACAATTTTAGAAGAGGCACTCTTCTTCATCATAACTATGGACTTAGTTCATTGCCTTAATACGCAGGAGAAGAGAAGATTTTCAATGGCTTCATGCATTTTTACTATATAATCATTAGAGCCCCGCCCTAGCGCCAGAACTCCTGACCCTGGGACAGGGTTTCATAATTTTGATAGAGGACTCAATGCTTATTACAATCATGCCAGCAGTTTGACAGCTTGATGTCCAGGAGTAAAGAAGATTTTCAAAGATTGCATTAATTTTCGTGGTTTTAGCCCAACCCCTCAGGCCCCCGGGGGGGGGGGGTATGAAATTCTAAAATTGTGTTACCCATTACCCATAGATGCTGTATACCAAATTTGGTTGAAATTGGTTCAATTGTTCCAGAGAAGAAGGAAAAAATGTTCAAAAGTTTAAAAACGACGAACGAGACGTACGAAAGCAAATAGCAATAGGTCACTCAGGTGACCTAAAAAACTTACAATGTCGAAAAGGGTATTGTCTGCATAACACTACATCTTGGACCTTTCAAGCTTCATAGAGATACTTACAGGACTTGTAAACGACTTGATCTAATTAAAAACCACATTCCAAAAATGCAAACTTTATCAAAGATTTTGAAAATCACAAAAAAGAATTGTCTTCACAATAAACATCTTATACCATTCCATCTTCAAGAAGCTACTTAAGAATTCTGAAATGGTTTTGCCTGCAACATACTACATCTCAGACCATGCCTACCAGTTTCATCAAGCTACTTGCAGAATTTGAAATGGTCAAGCCTGTATCATACTCATATAAGACCATGCCAGCTTCATCAAGTTACTAACAGAACTTGAAAGGTCTTTGCCTGTATCATACTACATCTGAGACCATGTCAGCTTTATCAAGCTACCTAACAAAATCATGAAAGGGCCTTGTCTGCATCGAACTAGATCTAAGACCAAGCCAGCTTCATCAAGCTACTCACAGAACTTGAAAAAGCTTTGTCTGTTACTACATCTCAGACATGCCTGCTTAAATAATTTACCAGGTTGATTAGCAAATTTCGTACATACATGTAAAATTTCAGTATTTGAGGGTAGTAAAGGGGAGTGGGGTGGTGACATCCCAATAATTTTGCCGATATATAGTGTATAATAGAAACATAATTATTATATGGTCATGCCCCCTCAATGAAAACATTTGATGACCTTTGTTATTTATTTATTGAATTATTTTTGCTTGCCGAGGAAATTTTTTTTATAGTTAATAATGCCTCACCTGAAAATATATGGCTGTGCCCCCCCCCCCCCCCCGGGCAATGAAATGGCTTCCAATTTTTACTATTAAATGAAAAGATTCTGAAGTTTGGACATGTAACAATTAATCCATAAACAATCTTTGTACGAATGGTTATAATTAAGCTTACACAAAAAGGGCGTACAAGGTGATTGATACCTATCCTCCTCCCAAAGTTATGCAAGGGAGTTGAAGGCTTCAATTTGCATTTCAATATATGCGCTCTGAAACACGGGTTCGTCCGTATTGACAATATTCCCTTCTCGTGCACATAATGCTTTAAAAATTCCATCGTTACTAATGGAGCGGGATTAGATGACAGATTTACCAATACACTTGAAACAGATGGGATATTCCCCACCATATTTACTGTTTAACTATGTAGGATTAAGAAATTGCAAAATGAATGAAGCGAAGTTGACTTTTGTTCCCGGAACTTCCGGATATTCCAGTAGCTTTTTAATTTGTTAGTTCATTACATGATGTCTCTATATGGACTTTGATTAAGTCATAAAAGGGGGAAATGTGCAAGCGATTAAAAGAAAATATTAATTAGAACACAAAAAGTTTCTTGGTTGAAAATATGTGTTATCGATTTTGACTTTGTGTTAACGGACAAAATGTATGTATACGCTCAGAAGACAAAAAGGAAGTGCCAGGATCATGAATGTTGACATGATATTGTTCTTAATCATGTCGGGTGTATACATCTTTTTTGGAGGACTAGGGAATATAATAATTTTTACAGTGTACAGGCGACAAAAGGAGGTTTATAACCAGAAAATATTCATCAAAACCTTGGCAGCATTGGATTTATTTATTTGTGTCGTGATCATTCCTTACTCAATCTTGTATGAGCTTCATCGTGTTCAAAATGATGTGATTTGTCGAATGATGGAAATAGTGCGTCACTTGGCAACACTTACAAGTAATTCTGTTCTTTGTGCCATTGCTTTTGAGAGATATGTTGCTATCTGTCACCCGGGGAAGAAACTTGACCAGCAGGCGATAAGAAAAATTATGATTTCTTTGACAATAGTCGCTCTTCTATTTTCAGCACCTGCTCCAGCTATTTTTTCCGTAACAAGAAGTAAATCGAGGGGAATACTCGATGAATACTGTCAGTTCACAACATCTGAAATAGGCATCTTGGGTACTACAATTTATCAGGGTTTCCTTATGTTACTTTGCATGTCTGGAATTCTAATCGTTATTGTGTTATATGCTTTGATCTATAGACGACTCTTAAAACGTGTTCTTCGTCGGCGGCGTTCAATGTCCAGACCAATTACTCCTAGTAAGTATGTCGTAAGAAAAATTAACGAGGGAAAAGATCATTCAACGGACCTAGCAAAAGAATTAAGTGGTACTGAAAACGAAGTCGTTTTATGTATAGTCGAAAACGAAGCTTTGGTGGGTTCCAAAAGAGATAAAATACAACGAAGAAGCGCGGTCGAAACAAACTCCTCAAAAATTGTAAACTTTACACCAACAGAGCCCGACAACAACGAAATATCGAGCGAACATAACTCAGGTATTGATCAGAAAAATACAAGGAGGAATACGAAAGACCGCCACGATTTACCCGAGTTAAGAAAAACTCCGGCTAAAAAGAAACACAGACCAAATCGTCAGGCCAAACCAAACGTTAGAAGGAAAACTTCTATTATGCTTTTTGTTTGTTCTTTGATCTACGTGGTTACATGGACGCCCTTTTGGTTGGATGTTTTTAACGTTACACATAGTCTTGTTTTGCGCTACCTTTTCTTTTTTGGCCATGCTAGTAATCCTGTCGTTTATGGAATTGTTAACAATCAAGTTCGAGCTGATGTCATTAAGCTATTCAAAAGACGATGACTCTCTTTAAGTGTTTTATTGGAATACTTAATCGTTGGATTTTGTAATTTACATTTACCGGTGACATACAGCGATAATAGAATATGATTTCTGCTGAATTCGAATTGTAAGTGAATTGTCAAATAAACAGATATAGTAAACAAATTCCACGATGGTTATAAAATTAAAAATTTATTTGCCTTGGACATAATCATAAAATTCTAAAAAGCCATTACTCATAATAAGATTTATGTACAGTTAATTTTGTCAATAAAATTGTCAATAAATGAATGTCTCCTGGTTACAGTTACAATTAATAACTAAATGATGAGCTTACATGTATGGGTAAATCTAAAGACATAAACATGTACATGTACGAAGAAGTACTTCCGCATTTTTATTTCATGAATTTGGTTTCCTAAGCCAATGTGCCAAATAATCTTATATACTTTCCATTTATACCATTGTAGGTCAAATACCAGGAAAGCGCTATACATCTTCATCCCTCTTTGTTGTCCCCAGCTTTCGCGAAAGCGAGGGAACATTACAGTCTGTCTGTCCGTCCGTCACAAAAACTTTAACCTTGCCCATAACTTTTGATTTAGTGGAGCTATGGCTTTCATATTTCACATGTGTATTTCTTAAGACAAGACCTTTCTTTGGGTACCACCAAATTTGACCTTGACATGGAGTTTGATCCACTTTTACACAAAAATTCCAAACTTTTACTTTGGCCGTGACTTTTGAAGGGTAGATACTAGGACTTGCTTATTTCGCATATGTATTCTCTGTTGCAAGAACTTTTAGTAGATACCAACAACTTTGACTTTCTGACCTTGGAGATTTCCATACTTCTAAAAAAATTTTAACCATGGTCATAACTTTTTAACGGGTAAGGGCTAGGACTTTCATACTTCACATATGTGATCCTTGTGGAAAGACCTTTCACTGGATACCAAGAACTTTGACCCTTTGACCTTGGAGTTTTACCTGCTTTTTAAAAACTTGAACCTTGGCCATAATACTTCACATATGCAGTTCTTGTGACAAGACCTTTCTTACGAAACCAACATCTTTAACCCTTTGACCTTGGATTTGCCTACCTTTTAAAAACTTATCCTTGGCCATAACTTTTGAACATGTGGTGCTAGGGCTTTCATATTTCACAATCATATTTCTTGTGAGAATACCCTAATTTGGGTACCTATATATTTAATTTGCATTTAAGAAAAGTTAAATCTTCGCTATGTTGCCATACGGGGTCATCCATTTCACAAACACGTCTTGTTCCTTATATTGAGAAGAGATAAGGTTTTCATATTTGACTTGTGCATTACCTGTAACATGATATTTTCGAGCATGCTATGATTTCTGACCCCTTGACCTTCAGGATTGACCTCATTTTAAAAACAAGAGGCCCATGGGCCTTAAAGGTCACCTGAGAATCATGCAACAACTTTCAAATGATAGAATTTGGTTCATGTTTTAAGGTAGATGCTATGGGATTCACAATTTCGAAAGAGGTTGGCACTATTGCTAATCACAAATATGAACTTAGTAATTGCTTAGTTTGGTTACTTAGCCTCCTTAATACCCATAGGCAGGGTAGGAGAACAAAAAACTCACTTCAACTAATCAGTAATATTCAGCAATAATCAGAAGTGCCCCTACCACACATGCACCCCTGACCCTAGGTCCACACATCGCAAAATTTTTGAAATGGCACACTTCCTTATCAAAAATGTTTGATTAATACCAAGGAGCAGATTTCAAACAATTCATTTTCAGTATAAAAGTAGAGCCCCCCCCCCCCCCCCATGGTATCCCAGATCTAGGGGCCTGGAAATTCACAATTCTGGAAGAAGAACCTTTGCACATCATAACTATATAGGTATAGTAGTTCATCTGCTTATTACCAAGGAGAAGAGAAGAAGATTTTCAAATAATGCATTTCCACTATATAATCATTATAGAACCCCGCCCTAACACCAGAACCCCTGACCCTGGGTCCATAAAATTTAGGTAGAGGCTATTCTTGCTCATCATTACTATTACTTAGTTAGTTTATTTAATACCTAGGAGCACAGAAAAAGATTTTCAAAAAATTAATGCATTTTTCACTATATAATCAATAAAGCCCCACCCTAACACCAGAACCCCTGACCCTAGGGCCCTAAAATTCACAATTTTAAAAGAGGCACTCTTACTCATCATAACTATGTACTTAGTTATTTTAATCCATACCCAGAAGCAAAGAAGAATATTTTTAAAGAACTAATGCATTTTCATTATATAATTAATACAGCCCCGCCCTTACACAAGAATCTCTGATCCTGGGGCCATGAAATTCACAATTTTAGAAGAGGCACTCTTGCTCATCATAACTATATACTTAGTTTATTTAATACCCAGAAGCATAGAAGAAGATTTTCAAAGAAGTAATGCATTTTCACTATATAATCAATAGAGCCCCACCCTAACACCAAAACCCCTGACCCTGGGGCCATAAAATTCACAATTTTAGAAGAGGCACTCTTGCTCATCATAACTATGTACTTAGTTTATTTGATACCCAGGAGCAGAGAAGAAGATTTTCAAAGAAATAATGCATTTTCACTATATAATCAATAGAGCCCCGCCCTAGCACTAGAACCCCTGACCCTGGGGCCATGAATTACAAAATTTTGGTAGAGGACTCAATGCTGATAACAATCATGCCAACAGTGTGACTGCTTGATGTCCAGGAGTAAAGAAGAAGATTTTTAAAGATTGCACTAATTTTAGTGGTTTTGGCCCCACACCCTAGGCCCCGGGGGGGGGGGGGGGCAAGGACCATGAAATTCACAATTTTTGTTCCCCTTTACCCAAAGATGCTATATGTCAAAATTGGTTGAAATTGCTTCAGTGGTTTCAGAGAAGAAGCTGAAAATGTTCAAATGTTAACGAACGACGACGGTCGAAAACAGATAGCAATAGGTCACCTGAGTTTACTCAGGTGATCTTAAAAAATTCAACTTCGATGATAATTTCTAAATGACATATGATAGGGCGTTCAAATTTGACACATGTCATAAAAAAAATAACATCTCACCCACAAAAAACACCGAAAGCGGGTGACCTTAATCCTTTGAATTTGCTTGTTGCTTCATAGTTTATACTCATATAAATATTTCAAGAATTTACATGACAGATGGACGAAATTAGATTATATTAATACAGATCCGGGTAATCCAAGGACATTAAGTACCACAGAGAATTGTTGCATTTACTATTAAGGAACACAGACTAAATCTTCCAATTAGTAAATGGATTGGGGAAATGTTCTGTTCTTACATCGATAATTTTCTGTTTTAAATCTTGTCTGTTTAACAAAGTTGTTCAATTCAGCCTACACATTCCATGAAGAAATCCTTCATCACAAAGAGATGTAATTATTATTGGAACATGTATATCAAAAATTATGTAATATATACATGTACATGTATGTGGACTGTGCTTATTTTTCTGCAATGTTTCTTTCGTCTTTTTAAACAGAAAATTAAACAGTTTTTTTTTCCTGAAGAAACACAATTAAATGAATACAAATGTCATGAAAATCTAGTCAAGAATAGCGTGGTCTAAGTTACCTAAAGGAGCGATGTGGCCCGAGGACCTCTTGTTCATTAAATACAGTCTAGGACTACTTTAATTGAGAAACCAGAAGTGTCTGTCGAGACTGAAGCTCTACTGGTTTGTACTTATAACAAATGAAGACAAAAGTAGCAGTTGGGACTTAAAACTTTACAACAGCAATAAATAGAATAATGATGCTTGATTGAGCTCTTTTTGTGGCAAGATACTGCAATAAGACTACAGCTGTAGGAGTAGCTATTAATAAACTTTTAGAGTATTTTTCAATTTTAGTAACCATGGCAACATCATTCCTCGAAATCAAAAATCGATAAACAGAATTGTGTATCTTAGTGTAGTCTACTCATGTGCCAAATTATATTGAAATCAGACCAAAACTGTAGGTGTAGCATTTTTAAAGCATTTCAGAGAAATTTCTATTTTTAGAAACAAAGGCAACACCATTCATCGAAATAAAAAATCGATATACAGAATTATGTATCTTAGTGTAGTCTACTTGTGTGCCATGTTATAATGAAATCAGACCAAAACTGTAGGAGGAGTAGCATATTGAGAGTATTTCACAGAAATTTCTATTTTTAGTAACAAAGACAACACTGTTCATTGAAATCTAAAATGAATATATGGAATTATGTATCTAAGTGTAGTCTACTTATGTATCAAGTTATATTGAAATCAGACCAAAACTGTAGGAGGATTAGCATTTTAAAAGTATTTCACAGAAATTTCTGGTCTCTGACCAGTAGAGCTAAAAACATGATTTCAACCAGAAGTCTCTGTCGAGACTGAAGCTCTACTGGTTTGTACTTATAGCAAAGGAAGAGGAAAGTACTAAAGCAGTTGGGAATTGAAACTTTACACTAGCAAAAAAGAGAATAATGATCCTTGAGTAAGTTTCTTTATGTTCTTAGTGTAGTCTACTTGCATGCCACATTATATTATAATCAGACTAAAACTGTATTTGAAGTAGCATTTTGAGAGTAACAGAAATTGCTATCTTTATTAACCAAGGTAGTAATGTTCATTGAAGTCAAAAACAGATATAAAGAATTATGTACCTTAGTGTAGTCTACTTGTGTGCCAAGTTATATTGAAATCAGACCAAAACTGTAGGAGGAGTAGCATTTTGAAAGAATTTCACTGAAATTTCTATTTTTAGTAACATCGCCTACACCCTTCGTCGAAATCAAAAACCGATATAGAGAATTATGTATCTTAGTGTAGTTTACTTGTGTGCCAAGTTATATTGAAATCAGATCAAAACTGTAGGAGGAGTAGCATTTTGAAAGAATTTCACAGAAATTTCTATTTTTAGTAACATCGTCTACACCCTTCGTCGAAATCAAAAACCGATATAGAGAATTATGTATCTTAGTGTAGTTTACTTGTGTGCCTAGTTATATTGAAATCAGATCAAAACTGTAGGAGGAGTAGCATTTTGAAAGAATTTCATAGAAATTTCTATTTTTAGTAACAACGCCTACACCATTCGTCGAAATCAAAAATCGATATATAGAATTATGTATCTTAGTATAGTCTACTAGTGTGCCAAGTTATATTGAAATCAGACCAAAACTGTAGGAGGAGTAGCAT